GTGACAGAGTGGAGAGGCTCTAACTACTTGTGCAAAGTATATGTGAGCCTTGGAGCAGTGTGAATGTAACTGATCTGGGTGCAGGGTGATCAAGGCACAGTGGACAGTGTCTGACTCCCCTGGCTAGTCTGGAGTTCTCAGTGGGACAAGCAGGAGGGGCCTATGCTAACAGCATGGGTAATAACAGCATGCGGAGGCTCTACAGCTAAGCAGAATAGACTTGAACCACAAAGCAGGAGCTCTAGGAGCTGGTCTGGCTGTGGAGGATCAAGACACCTCATTAGGAATATTTTAATATTGTCATTCAGTGGTAAAAATGTAGTAGATGTATCTGTTGTAAAATTTAAATGCAGTTAAAATTTCAAAACAGTTCACATCAGATTAGAGATTTAGATGCAATGGCCTCGAATAATATAAGATTCAAAATTAGGTAAAATGCACAAGAAATAATTATAAGAATTAAATTCATTTTTTCCTAAACACAAATTCACCTTTATTCTCTTGTAGCAATTGCATCAAATAAATCGTTCTTGACATTGGCTATTAAATGCAAAAGACTTTCAGCATAGTCACAAAAATTGAAGATAGAATATGACCACATAAAATTATAAGCACATTAGAGCCAGATTTGCACAATGATATATTTAAAATGTAGGATAGCACTGCCATATCTAATGAGTATATAAAAGTGTATCAGATTAGATTTTAGTGATAAACTTTATTTATTTATGCTATATTAGTCCACCAAAAAACAAAGACTATTCACCTAATACAATTTCTGTGTTTTTGCTTAAAGGAAAATCAGAGTATATATCATATTATCTCTCTTGGCTGTGCTTTACACATTCAAGAAAAAGCTATTTCAATCCTATCCATATGTGCTATGAATTTGAGCTCTAGGTTTTAGAGAAGTAAATGTACAAATTGTAGTGGTATATTTACGCACTTAAATTTTAGTGTCTTGAGGCTGGAGAGATGGCTCAGCAGTTAGGAGCACTGACTGCTCTCGCAGAGGACTCGGGTTCAATTCCCAACACGCACATCGTGGCTAGAGCCTTCCAAAACTCCAGTTTCAGGGGAATTCAAAGCCCTCTTCTGACCTCCACAGCATTGCATGACACGGGTGCCCTCACATACATGTAGACAATACACTCAGAGTATCTTTAAGAGATGTATTAAACCACCCTTTTCCTCAGCTTTGTGTCTGTATTCACTCCTGATTGTCAACTATCCCACCCAAAATTGATAATACTTTATATCAACTCTACAAAGCTTACATTGTACTTCTAACATTCTTATTATCATGTATTTAGTGTTATATAATAATACCAGTTATTTGGGGTGAAAATAATAATAAGTTCTCTAGCACAATACTTTTATATTTTCATGGTTTTCCAGAATGTCATCATACTAACAAAGAAAAAAATAAAGATCAGGAACACAAACCTTTGTTTCCTAATTTCTTTTCTACCAAATAGCAGATATATTACATGGGCCTTAGTCTCTCCCATTACAGATAAATAGAGGTACCATTTTGTAGCAAGACTGTGTCAGACACAGATGAGATTTGGGGCTCTTTGTTTTCTGTCACTGGAGTGGAAAAGGCAGATTTGTGAGGGCTTAGTAACCCTGTAAAAGCATGGAGCCAGAAAAGAGAGGGAAAGCAGCCAGAAATAAAGAGAGAGAGAGAGAGAGAGAGAGAGAGAGAGAGAGAGAGAGAGAAGGAAGGAAAGAAAGAAGGAAAGGAAAGGAAAGGAAAGAGAAAGAAAGAAAGAAAGAAAGAAAGAAAGAAAGAAAGAAAGAGAAAGAGGGGGAGGGCGGTGGGAGGAGGGAAGGAATGAGGAGAGAAAGAGAGCATGAAAGCATCTTGGTGTTGACCAGAATGGATATGGATGGGGGAGGTGAGTGCAATTACATTATAAGAGTGTCAAAAATTTAAAAAACAAACACGAATAATATGGTCATATATACTGTGGTATTTTCAGTAATTGTTGTTGACCAAAATGGAGATGGATGGGGGAGGTAAGTGAAATTACAGTATGAGATTGTCAAAAATTTAAAAAACAAGCACTCACAATACAGTCAAATATACTGTGGGCTTTTCAGTAATTAAAGCAGTGTCGCCTGATAACTGATGTGATAGCAAGGTCTTAGAAATTAGCATAATGACACCTCTTTAATATTTGCATGGTTGATTTAAAACACTACTCAAAAATAAAGATCTTAATATATGAAAAAATCGATTACAAAGCAGCTTTACAATACTTTTATTATATGGGGGAAGAAAACCGAATAACAAAAATCAATAGAGGAATGGGTGGTAAAATGTTACCTATTTTTTCTTTATTTTATCATATACAAATATCCAAGAAACATAATATGAAAAGATATCAGAAGACAAAGATGTGAGTCTGTAGTCCCTGCAGAGCCTCCACCAGCTGTTCTTACAAATTCAGCATAGTTTTCTTGCTCTTCTTACATTCTCTGTTCCACTTAATGCTGCAAACATCTTTTGTTTTCTATTTCTCTTAACAACTACGTGGACTCTACCTTTTGATCTCAAGATTGCATAGGAAAAAGAAAGGCAGAGTAGAGCAAGAGGACTTCCAGATGTTGTGCAGCAGTTTCAGTCCTCTCTGAGTGACTACATTCCCCACAGCCCTCTCCCCTGAGGTTCCATGCTGTGCATGACAAGGAGGCCTCTGTTATTTGCAGATTCCTGTTTTAGGAGGACTAATTCCCTGGAACAATATTCCCACCTTCCCTGAGGACCACCTGTGGTCCTCACCCAAAGTGGGCCTGGGTATCCAGGCCTTGATGTTTGTTCCTCTCTGAGTACCAGAAATCAAGAGGCTTTCCACTATTTTTCTGTTACTCTCTTTCAGCCCCAGTCTAGTATGCCTTCACCTATGCCCTAATTGAACTTGTAGAGATAAAACTCATAATCTGGGAAGTTAAAGAAATAGAAAGTATTGTAATAACTAAGATGATAATAATCCTCAAACTAAAAATATGTAATTATATCTCAGACTATAAATTCAAAATTCTCTATTATAATTTCTGAATGTTGTTTACTGGCAAAATGGTATTACTAAGCATCAGCAATGTAAAATTTGTCACTGTTTGTATAATGTGAGTTTACCATTCTAGTCCCTTTCCACTTCTCTATACAGTCATTCAATACAATCATGCTACTTCTTAAAGAAAGCTATGTTAATAGTTTAAACCAAAAATGGAAGATTTTCAATATGTCACTGTTAATGAAATGGGGAGAAAAAAGGTCCCTTGAGGGTTCTTAGCCTCATTCATAAAAAAATATATTTGAGAATGGACCCAAATGGAAGCTTTTACAATTTTATTAGAATTTTAAAGAAAAATCCTCAGGGTAGGCAAACTGGTAATCTTAGCAGCTGCCTTGAGGAGGTGAAGGGGGCGGGGGGAGGAAAGAAAGCCATGATGCCAAGCAGGTTTAGAGCCTGCATGGAGGTCAGACACATGGCTGACTGAGAGCCATATGGCTGGGAGAAGGAAGCTTTAGATAAAACATAAAGAAATGTAAGTCGCCAGGGGCAGCCCAAAGCCTTAAACAAAGCATGTTTATAAAAGTGATATGAAGAAGAAAAGGAGAGATTATGCTTTTCTGAGGAATTCAGAAAAGCCCTTAGATTTACAAAGACGTTCATGTTGGTTGGTCAAGAGGCTCTGGACTGGGAGTCAGGATTCCACAAAGGAAAAATTTGCTATTTCATTAACACACCAGGTGTTCAGTATTCTGCCCATCTATTTAGCATAGCTTAAGGTGAACTTGCCTTCCTAGGGGTGGTTTTATCACCAGAAGGTTGACCAGTGAAACAGGAAATGTGGTTCTTTCAATAGATTTTATAGTCTTGACCAGTTAAATTTATGGGGCTATTTGCTACTCTAATATTATTTTCCCTGCTTTACAAAATCTTGGTTTCTTTAGGGTTTATAAGAAACTCACAAAGAAGCTGAAATCTTTTCCATTCCCAATTGCAGTGACTGAAATGCTTGAACAGTTACTGTTCTATGTCCCCACCACCCATTGACAATTTGGATTTTGTCCATTTTAATTGTTATGTGAGTGTGTAGTGACATAATATGAATTTTTCTAGCTACATTGTATTTCAAGAATTTGTTTACAATTTATATATCTTCTTTAAGGAAAATTATGTTCACATCTTTAATTTGTATTACTTATTTTCTTTGGGTTGAGTTTCAAGTACCAAAACTCAGGACACCAGTTACTGTTCAGAAGTATGCTTTATACATTTTTCTGCCCAGACATTAACTTGTTATTCTAGTGTCTTGGTAACTTTCAAGGGTACAGCTTTTTAAATTTTAATAAACTCTATGGAGTCAATTTTCAAATGGATCATGCTTTTACTACCATCTAAAAGTTTTGTCATGAAATCTAAGTTCCTATAGAGCCCTTGTTTTTGTCTTGTTGCTGCAAAAACAACAGCTGTCACCTCAAAGGGTAAGAGTCAGTTTATTCTGGAACCAAATATGTGTGATTATGGCACAGGAACATAGATTTAACTACTCAGTTTTCCATTGTGGTAACAGTTGATGAAGTTTTTATAGTAACAGAACAAAGAAAGTTGTGCATCAAGGTGCTTTTCAAATACACTGCTGGAAACATAGGTAGGCAGGTTACAGGAGGGGATGTTTGCTGCAGGCCTCAAATTCCATTGATGGCCTTCAGACCTCTCCTTGGCTGGAATCTAATGGTTTATTCATTCATTCCAAAAAAATTACCAATGACCATAAATATGTTCTGTCATTGTTCTATGCTTGGAAAACAGGAACAAAGATTTACTTATCTCAGATAGGAAACTAACCACAGACTAAAGTAAGGATTACACCAGAATACAACTTGTTGAACCATTGAGTTATTTTAGTTCCTTACAGGAGTACAGGTAAGGGATTACTTACAGAAGCACAAATAGCTTATAGACAGTGGCATAATCAAAGCCCATCCCAACATGGGTGACTGCTCATGAAAGCAGGAAACCTAGAGCTAAGACATGTATAGCATGCATGCAGTTAAACAGGTTGGAAAATGTCTTTTCCATATAGGTCACTTGGTCTGTGCATCACTCAGTCACCTCAGTGGGTTTCAGTTTCTTGTAGGCAGCCCAGCTGTTCTTTGCTTCTTCTAAGGCAGTTTAGATGGTCTGCACCTCTTTGTTGCTCAGCGTGTCTCTCTCTCTTCCATGTGGCCTAGTTGGACTAAGAGAGACCACCTCAGTTCTCAGGTCTTATATATGCTTGCAGAAGGAGGGGGACCTAGTGAACCTGGTCAATTTCAGGAACTTCCTAAAGCTATTGAATTGTTACTTCCTGAGCTTAATGACCTTCTCTGGAGGATAGAATGTTTCACCTTCTCTCAAAACATCCAGTTGTTTACCTTTCTAAATTTAGAACATCCTGTTGTTTATATCCCCTCAGTCATCCTGCTGTTTATCTTCCTTTAGAATTTCCTGTTGTTTACTCAGCTTCTCTCCAAGTTGAAAAATATTATCTCAGAGGAAATTGCTCTACCTCAGTCACATTCAGAGGAGGGCAGTAAATGGTATGAAGAGGCTAATGATGCTCCACAAGAGTTTGGCTCTACACTTCTAACTTTCCTACCTTTCCATGTCTTTGGAGTTTTAACCACTAAATCAGTCTTGCAGAAGCTCCAACAGAATTTATTGTTCTTTCTGAGCACTTTCATTCATAGTCTGAAGGTGTTATAATTTTTGTGTTTTATATTTGTTACTTTTTATGTAAGGTATAAGGTGGGCTTCTTGTTTCTTTTCATTCCTTTTTATTTTTATTTTTCATATGGATATTCCATCCACTCTAGATGTTAAAGATATTTTTATAATTTAAATTAGGAAGGAACTTCCCTTATTTTGACTTGTATCTGTCCCTTTCCTCCTAGGACCCATCCTCCTTTCTCAACCACCTCCCATCTAAATTTTTCATTCCTTTACTGATTCCTTTGTATGTTAAAATAGAGGGAACTTACTGTTTGAATATTTTGCTAAATTAAATGGCTCTGTTTCTTCTTCTCAGTTATTTCTTTCACATTTATCCCTCCAAGTCTCATACTGTTTCTTCCCACCTCTCCCACAGAACAAATCCTCAGATTTTCTTCAAATCTAAGTTCAGATGTTGCCATCTCTTTCTTTAGAATGTTCCAGATCTACTTCTTTACTGACCAAACATGAGTATCATGGTGAACAGGTCCCCATTAAGCCAGCACATTTATTTTGACATACTTTGTAGCATTTAATGTTATAAATGCCTTGTTAACATAATTAACATATTATTGAGTTTATTCTTATCATTGAATTACTTCACACACCATGATATTTAAAAATACGATATGAAAATAAATAAGCTACTTTGATATATAACTTCACTTCATAAATGCATTTTATTCTTTCACTAAGCAAAGCTAACTCATTATGAATGGTATTCATTTGGCCCTTTTATATTTTTTATTTATTTTTAAATATTTTATTTCTTATTTTTATTTTATGTGTATGAGTGTACTGTCTGCATGTGTGTAAGTGCACCCGCTTTGGGCAGTGCCTGTGGGGGTCAGAAGAGGGCACAGCATTCTTATGGGACTGGAGTTTTGGGTGGTTGTTAGTCACCATGTTGGGTGCTGAGAATCAAATATAGGTCCTCTACAAGAGCAGTCAGTATTCCCCAACAATGAGCCACTTCTCCAGTCCTTGATTATGTGATTTTTAACACAATTTTATCTTACCAATTATTTTGTGATATATATTCAAAAAAATCTAAGAATCAGAAAATATAATGCTCATTATAGAATAAGGAAAAGGAACTATGTAAGTGTGCATGCACACACACACATATGCACAGATACACTCACACACACATGCACTGACTTCTCATGATTTTCTTTCCTTCACACTTCTTATTCCAAGAGTGTAATCATAAATGCCATCCTATTCTGCATATTCTCTGTGGGTGATAGCTCTCAGCTTCAAACGGAACACATCTTCAAAGGTGGGCTAGAATTTGGACAACTTTTGTTAATACTCTTTGGATTTGTATTTCAAACTTTTATGGCATGTCTTCATTGAGGAAAGAAACGTATTTAAGTATTGTAGATAATTTTACAACAGTTTCTCATGAAAATATTAGATGGTAAATAATTCAGTGCTGACAAACAAGGGTTGAGACATTAATGGGACTCTGAAAAAGAGAAGAGATCTTCATAGGAATGTTCATTGATGTGGGAACTTTAGGTCACAGATGGAGGTTTAGTTTGAAAGGAGAGAAATTCAAAAGTCAGGTTAACTGAGGTAACATGAAAGATTAACAGTGATTTGTGAGATACTTGCTCTGCAAAGGGTCCCATGCAATCTTAATTTCAATTATTTTGAGGAAGTTTCTCCTAAGTTCAAATCCTTGGGGAAATGCTTAGTCAATATACTCACTGTGAAGACAATACCTGTCTCCATGTTTAATGATATTGGAACTATTTTACAACAGGAATTTACTTTGCTTGTTTTTCATAGAGTTGCCCATTTTCCCCTGCCATACTTACATTCCATGTAGTAGGTACTGGACAATATTACATTTCCACACTTGGTCGCATTCTGATCTTTTGTTCATCTGCCAGGAGATGCTTTGACCTATGGGCAGAAATGTCCTTTCGTTTGTTTTCCTGTTAACACTGTCCCAAAGGGCACAAAGAATTTATTTTTCTTTATCTCTCCTGGAGAGTAGTATGACATTATGTGTTTTTAGCACTTCATCATTGTAGTGCCAAAAGAGGTGCTGAACATGTGCAAGAAACAGGCCTATGTGCTTCTTATGAGTGTGCTAATCCTGCATCAATGCCATGTACTTTGTACTTGTATCAGAGTCCAGGGAGATATAAAGCCCCAAATACTGTTTTTCAACATTAGACCTTCAGTAACTGTTATTTATAATAAAATAATATATATTCATATAATAATTCAGACAGTGTATGATCTTTTACTTCAGTGTTTAGATGTTGAACATATGAATGGGAAAACTGAATGTTCTGACTATTGTAACTTCAATTATATCGCTAAATCAGTGTAGAAATGTTGCTTTGTGTTTACTTAGCATTTGATCTTAGATGTAGCCTCAGACGGTTTTAGAAATCTTGAGTTTTGTTGTTTTAAGAAGTCCTATAACATTAATTTTTAAGGGATGATACCATTTGAGTTTTTGCATATTAAGTAAAGCTATTTATTTTTTATTATTTTATGTGTATAAATGTTTGGCCACCATGTATGTAAATGCACCTGAATTGTGCAATGCCCACAGAGTTCAGAACAGGGTGTAAGATCCCTTGGAGCTGGAGTTATGGATGACTGATAGCCACCATGAGAATGCTAGGAACTGAACTTAGGTACTCTTCATGAATATCCAGTAATCTTTCCACTGAGACATCTCTCCAGTCCCTGGCTTTTATTTTTAAGCTATTCTCATTTTTCTAATGGCACCCAGAACACATATTATATACAGATGGTCATCTCTGATATTTATTTTCCTTTACTTCCATTATCTGGAAATATAAGTAGACTAGAAAGGAGACATAATTTCCTAGCCTATCACACACACACACACACACACACACACACACACACACACACACAGACTCATTAAATTCAGGGAAAAGGACATTAGAAGCAGTTTCATGTATTAGGTGCCAAAGTGCTTCCTTTGCCGTCATATTTCTCCTTTTCCTTAAATTAATACCTGGAGCTTAGTGCTACTTCAAACTATGAGTGATACACCCTTCTCAAGGACATAATATTGAAAAGAGGAGTTTTACAAAAATACAGAGGTATATTTAAAGCATATAACAGCATCCAATATCTTAATACTGATAGTGGTCAGTTCTTATTATCTTTGTAATGTATAACACAATTTGGAGTAAAACAACAGTGAACAGGATAAAATGATCATTTTGCATTCAAATCCATAGCACGATTACTGGGAGATTGACTCTGTCTCTACTTTTCATTAAAACCATCTCGTACCCACAGGACCATTCTTTCATTGTTCTAAGATTTTCTTTTTGACTTTATATAAATTTGCTCCCTAATCAGCAGTCTTTCACTGACAGAATTCCCCAAGTGTGGAAACTCACATCTCTCTTAATTAGAGTCCAGATTCCACTTGTTCTTCCTAAACAATTCATTATTAAATCCCCAAAGCTAACTAAATAGAGATAAATAGTAAATTGCAGTTTTAGTGGTAGCATTTCATGTGATTCCCACTGGAGTTTGCTTCACCATCTTTACCTGTGGGAACCATGCACGTCTGTCCTCAAATTAGTACATATAAAGACAGATTCTAGTTTTAGCAAATTTAAGTCTCCTGGGAGTAAGAAATTTCTATATTAACATGACAGTAGGTTTTGGTATTTATCTCTCTGGCAACCAGTGTGTAGCTTGGTCAATAAGTGTACCTGTCCCAGTGAGGAAGAAAGATGATTGTCCCTTGATGCAGTCAACCCCAGCGAGAGCCGCTCCTCCTTTCTCACGGGTGCTGCTCCTTCATTCTCATGGGTGTCAAGGCTGCTCCTCCGTTCACCCTGGGCTGAGGCCGCTCTTCCTTCTGCCTGCCCTGGGCTAAGGCAGCTCTTCTGCTGGCCTGGTGCTGAGGCAGCTCTTCTGCTTGCCCTGTGCTACCTCCTATCGTTGCTGCTTCTGCCCATCCCGGACTCCAGGGCTGGTAAGGAGACTGTGTCAGCAGAGCCACATTCAGACACAGGAGACCAGGTTCAGTGACACAGGTCTACTTTTTTGCAGGAAGGCACAGGCTTATATGGGGTAGTGGTCCAATCACAGCACAGCAAGTAGGATACCTTATTAGCATAACAGACAGTGTTCTATTATCATAACAGACTTAATGTCCTATCACAGAATAATGGGTAGGATGTCTCATTAGCATAATGGGTTTCAGATTACAGAGCCTGGATTCCTGGAAACCGCATGACCTTGACTGTTGCAATATCTAAGTGTTGCAATTTGGAATTCCAAGGGTGGTGATTAGGGAGTAGCTAGCTCTAGGCATCAGTTTCATGATCTAACAATGGGAACAAATGTCACAAGGCATTCCTTGTGGCTCCAGTGGTCAGGCTGTTGCCTCAGGCCTGCTGTATGGCTGTCAATAATACTTTCACCCTAGGCTCAAGCCTTTCTACCACACCTTGATACTAGGTACAAAGAGCTAGTATTCTAAAAGGCTTCTTGCTTTTTGAAATCACTTATGCTGGCCCCCAAATTGGTACTTTCTTAGGATATTTCATTCTGGAAAGTTTCATCCTCCAGTGGAAGACCATTTTCTTTTTAAAAAATATTTTTGAATTATTTTTATTTTATGTTTATGAGTATGTTGCCTGTATGTACATAAATGCACCCGTGTCATGCAGTTCCCACAGAGGTCAGAAGACAGCATTAGATCCCTTGTAACTAGAGTTACAGATGGTTGTTAGCCACCATGTGGGTGCTGGGAATCGAACCCAGGTCCTCTTCAACAGCATTCAGTATTCTTAACCACTGAGTCATCTCTCCATCCCCAAAGACCATTTTCTTAATACAGATACATAATCACAGGAGTATATTCATCTGAGAAAATAATAACATAATATATATCTATATGTTCATTATATTATGGGAAAGAATTTCCTGTAGTTCAGAAGTTCTTATATTTTGTCTAGTAGTAGAACCCACTGAAGGATTTATTTATACTGTTTTCTGGGCCTCCACCTCAAGAGTTTATCATTTAGCGGGCAAGGGTATGGTCTAAAGACTCACATTTCCAACAAGTACCCAATTTATGCTGGTGCTGTGCATTTACTGATAACTAGTAAAACTCATAAACACATAGTTTTAGGTGATGAAAACATATAGGTTGTGCATAAACAGGCAAGAACATAGTTGTTCTGGTGATCAAGGTGCATTTCCTGGATGAAGGGAACTTGTATAAGGCATTTCAGTGACTGTGAAAATAGAAACAACAGACAGAAACATTTTATGTAAAATTAATAGTCCTGGTGAAAATCATGTGTATCTTATTAATAATATTGTAACTTAAACTGTGCTGGAATTTATCAGTTACTGGAGAGAATATTAAGCAAATACAGGTACAAAGAGTGCAGTGCTTGGCTGGACTTTGAATTTAGATTAGTAAGAGTCTTAATATCCATGTATGCTTGTCTGATATTGGGCAAATTATTTTTTCATAAATCTCAGTATCTGCTTATTCTCTACATAAATGGGTTGTTTCCTATGTTTTTGAGAAAATTAAATGAATATATATTCTCATTTGATTAATATACATATCACATAAATCCTGTGTTACCTTTGAAATCAGTAACAACAGCTATGTTCATTGCTAAGTTTTTGGTACCCTGATAACACAGTTTATCACCCTTGGCCTTCTCTTGTGTGGTCAAGCCCCAGTTTCAAACCAGATATTCTGGTATTTGAAGTTTCATATTATTGTTTTCTGCTAGCCAGGCTGTAAGTCACTATGTGTTAGTGTTTACTTTCCTTTTAAAAATTAATAACTGACAAGCTCACTTTCATTTTTAGGCATTATAATCATAATATTTAAAAATATTTTGAGATGAGAATATATCATATTTAAGGCAAAAGAAGGATTCACCAGACAATGTAATGTTTAACTAGGTTAATATACACCTTGGTTAAAACTAAGATCTGCTATGTTAGTTGCTGAAATCATTTCCAAGTGTTCGAAGATCTGAATGTACACAGAGCATTCATTAGGTGTCTGAGGAAGAATTTTCCATTAAAGGAAGAAAAAAAAATCTTTGTGTTGTGATTTGAATACATTAAGCTTAGTTAATTTTACATTTTCTTGAACTAATTAAACTTCTTAAAATTGCCTGTTCTATTTATTTGGGTGAAAATAAACCAACTGTCCTGAAGTTATATAGCTCAGTGCCAGAGGGTTGTCCCAGAATCCTCAAGATTCAGGGTTCAATCCCTAGCACTGATATGAAAAAAAAAGTGATTCTTAACATTTGAAAAAAAAATTGTTGAGAAAATTGTGGACCTAATTTTAAAATATATTTTGACAATACAGAACAGTTTGTTAGAAATTTACAACTTCTGCCCCTGATTATTGCAGAGTGAACAGTGGTGTGCTGGAGCCTGTTCACACTGGATTATGAAGATGGATAATATTTCGTTTTTATTTTATTTGGGGTAATCATGAGAACATCCACTATAATGAATATTTTTAAGTGCGTTAAGCTATCCTTGTAAATTAAGATGGATACATGTAGACTTGAAATATTAGTTTATAATTATTATACTTTTACTGTTATCTCTACTTTTGATGCTATTTACTGTCTTGTGAATATATGCTGGTAACACCATGAAATGGAGTGCACTCTGCAATGTTTACCCACTCAACATTCAGCCACACTGTTTGGCCAGAACACTCACAGAGGACTGTGGGAATCTTCTCAGAATACATGTCTGTCAGTATTCCAGGAGATTAACAACAGGCAGAGAGAATTTAGAAGGCTTCATACTCATCACATTGATTTATTCAGTCCTATTGTATAAGATTTAGTTTTCCAGCTCCTGAAGCAAGAGAAATTTGGGTTGATCATCTTCAGAAGTTTGAAGACAAGTAGCATTGGTAAGGAATCCCCATTCTGTTACAAAGCAAATCTATCATCTTTTATTCCTGCACCACCACTAATTCCATAGGGAGTTGGTGTCACTGGTTTCTGGGCCTTTAGGGATCACCACACATAAACTGGGAAATGCTTTGGCATTCTCTATTGCCAGGCAGGCACCTGGCTTCCTCTGATCCAAGACTGCATGCCTCTTTTTAACTTTCGAAGTGTTGTGGCTTTCTGCTTTCTGTTTATCTTCTGTTTTTTTATCATGCTGGTTTACACACTATAAATCAATGTATTGTCACTTTAGAGTTTTCAGAATGCAGAAGCTTTAGTTTTATTTTCAAACTGAAAATAAATAGAACTCACAGGAAAACTGTATTTTTTTAAGTGTCTAGAACCCCAGAGAAACACGGAGGGAGTTTTTGCAGGACTGTCTTAAAACACACTCTTGATTTTAGTCTTAGCTCTCAATTGCTCAGGCCTCGAGGGTGTGTAGATTGACGAAAGCTATGTTCTAATATGTGAGCACAGTGCCGTTTCCACAGGAGGTTCAGCTGTCTCCAGCATGGTTTGAGGTGCGTACAGAAGGAGGTACACCAATTATGACTCTGGCTATTTTCTGAGCTAGTTCTTCATGCTACTAACTGCTCTGAATTTTTGGCATCTACTTTCCAAAATCATGCTTAGCTTCATTCTATTAATGTGAAATTATGAATGGGAAGAAATTAATTAATAAACCTAGTCTTCCTGGCTGTTTGGGAAGTAAAGTATCTTAGATATTTTAGCCTACTTGTTCTAAATTTGTGATATAATCTTTGCCCTATAAACAATTGTTACACTTTATTAGAATGCCTACAGTGCTAACCACTTTTCAGACTGGTAGAAATGCTAAAGAATTTATTTGAGAAGTCATTCCTAGCCCAGCATGATGGACACCTATAACCTCAACCCTCTCTAGAGAGGCTGAGGAAGAAATATTGTGAGTCTAAGATTAGAGCTACATAGTGAGGTCATGTATTAAAACCAAGAAACAAAAATGTCATTCCTCTTTTAAGGAAATTACTTAAAAATTTTGCTTGTTTCACATATGGCCTGAAACACTATGTGTGCATAGGTGTATAATATTTTATTTAGTATAATAGTTACCATTCTAACTTTCTTGATATTTTCTGTGTTTGGAAAGTATTAGTCTTCTGGTTGGGACAAAATTAGACTTGTAATTGAGAGAGAATCCCATTTGCGGAAGAGTGTGAATGGACATTCATGTACCGGTACCGGATACTGAACTCAGTGTATCACTGGATCCTTACTGTTATGCCCATTCTGTTATCTTTATTTTCTCTTTTATTTTTAACCAGAAAATAAAGAAGAAACCTATGCATGGTCAGAGCTCACCAGAATGAGAAACTGGAAAGTACCTTTTCTGTTTATTAATGCAGGAACAATAAGATTTGATTCGATATTCATCTGTAAACTATGGTTTACTATTAGTACTAGTGATCAGATGTTTTAAAACCTCTGTGCCAGATTATGCTTTACTAGATAATTTCTACCTTAATTCTAGATTGTACAGCAATATTGAATATTCACGGTTTTCTAGATCTTATTTCCCTTTGAAAAACTTCAAGGCAGATCAATAACCCTAACAGCACAAGCTATGATTAGCAACAATGTGGATCTAATACCATATAAGGCCTGATGCAGAGGAAAATAGATCCAAAACCCCAGAAAAAAAAAATCTATGTAATGGATGGCAAACATGTTTCCTTAGAGAAATGGAAGGAAGAAATATCTTGCCTGTCCTATTCATTAAGGTTGTACCAATGACTTAATAATTATTATTTTAGTTCTAAAATTATTTGCACTATAAAGTCTCTGGAATTATTTTTCAAATCAGTTGCTACTGCATTTTCAGTCCT